AACCATCGTTACCTTGGTTCATTTTTACATAAGTACTTGAATTATTTTTAATGGCCCTTTAGGAGTTCATTAACTATATCTAGATCTCATCTATAATTTTTACAATGAATTGAAGTTATACTAAATAGTACCTTACTACATTATTTTCTCCCAATTTTCTAAAGCAGTTCTGTTCTCCATGATCATTATAGCTATCCATAATTCATAAATTATCATTTTTGACCCTTCAACTAACTGATTTGCACACAAATACAAATAATACTGTAAAGCAGTATAACATTGTAAAGTAATACTGTAAGAAAAAAGTTTTTAAAAAGTAGTTGCTGTCATGTGGAAATAGAAGTAAATTTGTATTTTCTAACTAATCTTAAACTCTAAACCAGTAGTGAAAGGCAGTATAAAATTAGTGGTTCAGTATAAAGTATCCTGCAAGGAGTTGAGATTTGAGTTCCACCTTGGCTCAGGTGTCTGCTACCCCTATGACTATGTATAAGTCATTTAGCTTTTCTAAAACTCAGCATACAATATTTAATGAAAATCATATATTTGGCATCTCTTGGCTGGGAGTGGTGGCTTACACCTGTAATCCTAGCATTTTGAGAGGCCAAGGTGGGAGGACTGCTTGAGGCCAGGAGTTTGAGACCAGTCTGAGCAACATAATGGGACTTCATCTCTACAAAAAAATAGAAAAATTAGCTGTGTGTGGTGATATGCGCCTGTCGTCCCAGCTACATGGGAGGCCGAGGTGGGAGGATAACTTGGGCCCAGGAGTTTGAAACTGCTGTGAGATATGATGACACAACTGCACTCTAGCCTGGATGATAGATCAAGACTATGTCTCAAAAAAACAAAAAAATCCAGCTCACTCTCTCCCACACACACCTCCGCCTCACACATAAACATAAAACTTAAACTCTCCTGATACAATTTCAAGAATAAAAGGCATAGTTTAACAAGTGGCAAAATTTCCAAACTTGGATTCTAACTGGAACTATTCCAATTCAACAACTATTTTTATTGAGTTAAAATAAAGTATCTTTGTGAGTGGGAGGATATCTCAGGCAGGGGAGGAGCTCAAGAAGGCTAGATTAGGAAAGACTTTGCATATGTGAAGCACAAAAATCATTAGTATAGATTAGGATAGCTACATTAAAAATGTGCTACATTAAAAATGTGGCAAGGGGGAGGTGGCAGTGGCAGTAGTTGTGGTGTGAGAAGATGCCAGAGGAACAAAATTATGCAGGGTTTTCTACTAGGCCATAATACTAAGTTTGACCTTCATCTCAAGAACAGTGAGGAGTCATTAAGGTTCTAAGCAATGATGTGGCATAATTTGTTTTCCATTTTTGAAAACTTACTCAGGCTGTAATGCACAGAATAGGCAGCAAGTATGCAAGACTAGAGACAGGGAAACCTGATGAGACAGCTTTAAGCTGAAATGATGGAGGCCCAAATTAGAAAGCAGTATAACAGCAATTAAGAGTAAGGTCTCTGCATTTGCCTGCATTCGAAATCTCAGATTTTCCACTTATCAGATGTACAACTTTGAGCAAGTTGCTTGCTGTTACAGTTTAAACGTGTCCCCTCAAAAAGCATGCTGGAAACTTAATCCCCAATGCAACAGAGTTGGGAGGTGGGGGCCTAATGGGAGAAGTTTAGGTCACGAGGGCTGGATTAATGCCAATTATAAAAGGGCTTGAGGCTGTAAATTCAATCTCTTGGTTGCTCTCCCCTCTCTTGCCCCTCTACCTTCTGCAAGCAGATGAGGCAGCACGAAGGCCCTCGTCAGATGCCAGCACCATGCTGTTGGACTTTTCAGCCTCCAGAACTGTGAGCCAAATAAATTTCTGTTCGTTATAAATTATCCAGTCTGTGGTATTGTGTTAAAGCAGCATAAAATGAACTAAGACACTTACTCTCTTCATCTCAGTTTTCTCTTCTATGATCCAGATAAAAATCTTCACGGGTTTCTTGCCAAAGAATAAATATTAAATATAGAGCAATTGGCATGTTGCCTGATACAGAATAAGAATGCAAATGTTTATTATTATTAGTGCAATGGAGAAATGATAATATAACTGGAAGGTATTTAGGAGACAAGAATTGACAGTTTGGGTATAAGGAAAAGGATGAATTTACATTCTAATTTCTCACTTGGATGAGATGAGAAACACAGAAGGTTTGAAGGTTCTGCAGCAGGTTTTAAGGAAAGGACAGTGTTCATTCTTCAATATACTGACTGCAAGATTTGTTAGTATATGGGTGAATATATAGCTCTGAAGTGAAGGAAACAGATCAAGGCTGGAGATTTGAAATTCAGAGAGACAGATGGTAATTAAGTTCATAGGTATTGGTGAGAGTCCCTAAAGAATATGCAAAGTGAAGAAATGACACTAGGTAGAACCTAAGGAACACCAATATTTAAAGGATGGGCAGAGGAAGAGAAATCTGCAAAGAACACTGAGAGCAAGAGGCCAGAGAAGTAAGAGAATAATAGTGTGAAATGTCAAAAGCCAAAAGAAAAAAAGTGTTTCAAAGAAGAGTACTCAACAACATCAGTACTGCCAAGCAGTGAAACAAGAACTCAGTTTTCACTGGGTTTAGCAACAGAAGTTATTTATTCACATAATAAATGTGTGCCAAACATTGAGCTAGGCCCACGAGATACAGATGTGATAAGAAAAATAAGATACTTGCACACATAGACTTTATGTTGTGAAGATAGACAGTAAACACATAAAATACCTGCAAATTGTGATGAGGACTGTGAGCAGAGACAGAGAGGCCTGACAGTACAAGGCAGAGGCCACCTTTAGACAGGCAGTTTGGGAGGGTAGCTCTCTGAGGAGAGAAAATTTAAGCCGAAACCAAAGGCAAGAAAGGGCTTAGAGAATTGGTCATAGAATTGAAAGAGGCCCGTGTGGCTACAGCACAACAACGGAGGAGGGATGGAGAGAGAGAAGCTAGATCATGTTTGTAGATCATGCTTAGGGTACAGTGAGAAGAGTTTAGATGATGACCTGTTAAACATTTGAAAGTAAGGAAGTTCAGATCACTCTAATAGTACTTAATAGTTTGGCATTCGTCATCTATACTAGTCTTAATAATCAGAAATAGGAAATTTTACTACTCTTTCAACAACTAACTGCTCGTTATAACAATATCAAAAAAAAGTTTCTATTTAAAGGATACTACATGATTACAAGCATGTCACCTGCTGTAATAATTTTACTAATCCCCCTTTAAACTTCTTCTATAAATAGTTCTCAAATCTGCTTGATTCTATCATTAAATTATATTTATCTGAGGCACTCATTTTCCAGCAATGTACAACCCAATTTGAATGTTTTATAACAAGACTCTACAAGGTGTTAACTAAGATGTCTATGGGCCAATAACATACCAAAAAAAACCTGATTAAATTCATTTTTTTAAAGATTATATTTCATAGTTTCAGCTTCCTGTTTCCTTAACATATATTTATATACATACATATAATAAAGAAAAGCTGATGAGAAAAACTTGGGCTTGATTCTGAACAGCTGTATTATTATTTTAATTACCTTATCTGCAAGAGGAAGAATTTATGGCCCATATTTCACAAAGATGTCTATAATAACAAACGTTACCATTTACCTAGTATCTAATTATCAAGCAGTGAGCTAGGCACATTACATAAATTATCCCTCAAAAATAGGTAGGTGACTTGCCCAAGTCTGCAGACATAGAATTCAAGTCCAATTCTGCATGCTCAAAAACTCTGGTCACTATACCAAGATGCCTGAGACCATTAATAGACTGGGTTCCTTAAAAATACCTATTATATACAAGATACTAAATCATAAAAATAAATTATTAAATGCTAAAAAATATTTTATTTGATTTTTAATAAACTATGTACAATGTTGAAACATTAGCCAGACACACCGTTCTTACACAGATATAATATATTCCTCCCTTTGGCATAATAACCTGATTTCAATTTTTTTCGATATTGGAGAATAAAGATAAAAGGATGCTATAAAAGATAATCACACTATATTTAAGGTCCAAGAATTACCATTCTGGGTAAAATTTTTTTCCCAGTTATTCCTCAGTACAAATATCAAATCCAAAAAACTGCCCAAAACTGCCTGTTCTCACAAAACTTGTTTCTGAAAGTTAAAAATTACAAATTGGCCTAAGATGCTCCTGAATCAGAAAAATCTAACCTCTGATTAGAACCTCTAAATATTACTATTTCTCTGAATGTGGAAGGCAACGAGTCTGAATAAAAGCATCATAATTTGCTCTAAGCAGAATCTACAGATTTATTGTATTGTGACCTTGACTAAGGTTTGTCAAGTAGCCAAGTCATCCACCAAGATACTGTTTGAAGAAGTCTAGGTATTTAACAAAAAGAAACTGCTGCCAGATTATTTTTATTTTCCTTAACAAAATACACATAAGAGCACACAATTCACTTATATATCATCATTTTACAAGTATAAATAATGTTCAGAATTCAAATACAGTCAAATGCAGAGATATTTCCTATGTTACTATGTAAACATAAACTAATTATCTACATCATGTGCCTCTGGCCCAGCTGCAAAGTAAAAGATATCAAAAAGAAATACTGCACTTGACTATACAATTGCATTCTTATTAAGAATTCATACCAATGTCTATGTAGTTACAGTTACAACTTTCGTACCACTTAGCTTAATGTAAACACCTAAATAGACATTTCCCCTGCTAGCAAATATCTTAAGAGTTAAAATTCTATCCATTTTTAATAATGAAGTATTCAAAATCTTAATTGGGTTTCATTTCTTAAAACAAACACTATTAGAGAACTTATTCCTAACCAAAGTTCTTCCTATGTCAAAATGCATATTTACAGGTTATACATATAGAAAACAAAAATGTTATTATGTTTGTTTACTTTTAGAATGGACAACAAAAATCTAAAAGTTATCTAAATAGCGTAGGTCTCTGTACATTGAAAAGGATCTTACTTCACTGATATCACTTGCTTTTAATTTTAATACCCAGTAGATGTAACTTTGACATGTTTAAATAGCTAGGCAACCTGAATTCAAATGATACCAAGTATATTCTTAGAGGGGCAGAAAAAAAAAAGAGTACCACTTAAAAAGCAATAACGGACATCAACAAGACTATAAATATCTGGTTGAAGGCACATGGAAGCATTTACTACTTTGCCATCAAAGATTCTTCACTTGGTTCAGAATTAGGAATAGAGTCATCTCTGGAAACTGTTGATTTGGCTTCATTCATTGAGGTTTCCTCATTCTCGGTCTCTTCTTGTTTCTCCTCTGGTTCCTCTGAGCCAGATGCTTTTTCAATCACTTGGTTTGTCTGCTCTGCGGCTGATATTTTGTCATCTGTCTGCTCTGTACTATTATCAAGAACATCTTGTTCTTCTACAGATTCTGAAAAGATAAAGATTCAAAACTTTAGGAATACCTAAATATTAAAGCTGCTAAATAAGGCAAGCAAAAGATAAATATACACACATACATACACATACACATGGACTAAGAAACAGCATTGTCTAACATTATCCTTAAAATCTTTAAAAATAAGTACCTAACTCCCTATATAGCATACCATTTATGAGTTAGTATGATTGAAGAAAAAAAAACTGGAGGAAATAAACCCATAAACATACTTTTATCTAATTTCCCATACTTTTATACAAAATAAATTCCTAAAGACATGTTTAAAAGTTGAATGTTTGAAAATCAAAGTCCCAACAGAATTATTAATATTTACTATAAGACAACAGTCCAGCATACAAAGCAAATGTATTAATTCCCAGACTATATTTTCCAAAGGAACTATTTCCCTTGTGTCCTGGCCACCCTGAGAGCAATGTGTAAATGTATACTTTTTTGTGCGTGTGTGTGTCGGGCAGTGCTTTCTCACACGGATATTATACATCTCTATTACCCAAGGACTCAGAAAGTCAGAATCCACCTTTCCCAAAGGCATGACAAGTCTCCCCTCATCCCTTTGTAAGACAAATCCTCTGTGTTTAACATCTGGGTCAGAAGATGCTACATACCTAGCATCCTAAGCAAGGAAAGGGAAGGGTCATTTTCCCCCATCTCTATAGAAGAAGCTAAGTAAGGGTCTCGGTCCCTATCTGAAAATTTACTCCCTTTACGTTCTCTTTTTGAGTTTTATTAAATTAAAATCCCTTAATAGTAATTTAATAATAAGAATTTTATTAAATAAACTGCCTTTAATTCTTTGAAATTTAAGGAAAAGGATAGGGAAGGGAATGACAAGAGCAGACAAACTTTGGGTTGCCCAATTTCCAAGTCAAAGATAAAAATCTAGCTTTGAGGTATTTGTTTTGTTTTTGTAATAAATAGCAATTAATATCCTTGCTAGGAGAAATATGGCTAAACCATGTCAGCTAAGCAAAAAAGCAGATTTTCCTACCCTCATAAAAGATCCCTTATGATATATTACTAATGTTATTGATTCAAAAAATCTGGAGGGAAGGCCAGCCTACTTAGTAAAAAGTTCTAGTTAAGTTCCTTATATAGTACAGGCCAGAGTTTGCTAAATAAATAAAATTAATTAATAGTTTTATAAAGAAATTATGGTTATATGCACACATGCTAATGTGAAAGTCTTAGAAATTCATGGTTTTACCATACCAGTTTTAATAAATACGAATTATCTACAACTCACAGACTCTATGCCGAGACTTTAAAAATATTTAAAGAGAATTACTTCCTTAAGCAGATACCTTGGACTCTGGTTTGCAGAATTAATTATAACCACCTTTTTCCTATGTATATGTAGAATAAAGGCCCAAATTCTACCATTAGGGACATCCAACTTAATGAGGTTTTACTGTATGAAAACTTCATATAATCAGAAATAGTAGTGAGGAATGTTTATAATCATATTTGTGCCAAATTTTATAAAAACCTTGCTTGTATCTTAATAAGGAACTTAAAATGGCATTGCTGCACAACTTGAAATCTTAAAAAAAAATCCAAGGTAGAAAAGCAGTAAGTCACTCAAGTTTTGTGATTTCAATGTTCCAGGGCGCGAAGGAAAAACAGAAAGGGCAAATAAAACTATGAACATTTACAAATCATTTCTCCTACAACAGCAAGCAAGTTCTTCCATGGAAAACTTCAGGGGTCACCAACCATTTGTAATTCTACCCTCACAGAATTTATCCAGGGTAGAATTTAAGAGTCATGGTTTTCCACAACTCTCTGGCCACAGAGCAATATTTACTTGGCAAGGACTTACAATTTGTTATAGTTTAGTAAGCCTTCTGAAACAAACCAATAAAGCCACAAGAAATAGAAAAGCAAAAAGCTCAGAATCCAGAACTCAACTCACCAATAACACTGAACAAAGGCCGACATAGTTTGTCATATTCTGACAGACTGCCTCAATACTGTACTGAAACAGGAGATGTATCAAAATTCAGGCTTATCATATTAAAGTTTTGTGATGTTACTATTTGCCAAAATAGACCCTTTACTAATCGAAGTCAATTTAATTTAAAATTTATGAAGTCTAAAGAAGCTGTTAATACAAAGAAGAAAACTATAATAGTGGAATTTTTAAATGCCTGTAATATAAGAATTCAATGTGCTGTCATAATTAGAAAACAACAGGATATACAAAGTTTTCCGGTCAATATCATACTGTATTTCAGAGAATATATGGAAGACTAAAAAATTGGTGAAATGGCGGGTGGAGTTTGAAAATAATCAAAGAGGCTCTTAATGACTACTTTTCTTCCTGTGGGTTAATTTGCAGTAAAGCAATTTTAATAGCAGTAATGTATGTGACATGATGCCTATAATGCAGATATTAGCTAGTCTAAATAAGGTAGGTACTGGATGTTTAGATCCCAATGCCATTTTGTGAGAAGTCATCGAACAAATTCTAAATAACTAAGTTTAAAAGACTAACAGAGAATTACATAACAGTTATTTCATAACTAAAGCTGAGTGCTTTATAAGGTTATTCAACGTATTCCAAAAGTATTTATTTTATTTCTACGGGAGAGTATCATCTGCCTATTCTAATAGAAACAGTAAATTTTCTCCGTGAAGTTGTAGTTTAAAATAGCTTGGTGGTATAAAATACATTTCAGAAGATGTTAATATTTGGGGATGAAATACTACAAAAGAAACTAGGCTTTGTGTTTGTGCTAATTAAACAGCCCTACTCTTCCCTGTATGGCCCAGTTTAAGATATGAAACAATTACCTGAATGATCTAATTCCTTCTGTAAGAAAAATTTTAAAATCAGTTTTGGCATCTATAATGCCAAGAAAACAACATACCACAATGTGATAAAACGAAAATGATCCATGGAATTTGTTTCTTTCACTACTCCTTCCACCTGTCCCACCCCCATCCCAATACTCTTGAGAGAGTAGTTTTTCCTCCCAAATAACAACAATTGTCTTCCAGTTGTTTGGGCAAAGCTTCAACTCAGATAGAAAACTCAAACTCATAAAACTGAGTATAACTGTATAATGAATACCACTGCTTCACCTATAAACCACACACATGCGAAAACATGTAGGAATAGCACCACCTTACCTTTAGGTTTTTATTCTAGCTCTTGAAAGAATAATTTTGTAAGAAAATTAAAGAGTAGTCTAGCAAAACAACTTTACATATTTTTGCTTTGCTAAAACATCAAAATTTTGCCTTTTTAATACCTTAGTGCTGACTATACGTGTAGACTATAAACTTACCCAAAGGAACTTTGTTAAATTAAAATTGGCAATTTGTCTTTGAATGCACAAATTTTAAATAAGGCAGTTTTTACACGATTTTCCTGCCTCAAAGAAAATGGTCAACTAATTAAGAAACAAAGGCATGAATTTCACACTAATTCAACCCAATGACTCCATGAATAAAATTCAATTAAATTATAACCACCCATGAGAAAATAGGTAGTATTTAACATAAAGAATATCATTTAATTATTTACCATTGGTGAACAAATCAATTAGACAAGTTAAGAGTTTCATTATTAAGCAATGATCTAAAAGTAAACTATTAGGTGAAGGTGTTTTAGAAAAGGGAGTCAGAAAGCCAAAAGATCTCTATCTAAAACAAACATGCAAAAACATACTACAAGCAAGTTTACATCTTGAGTAAATATAAACAAAGGTACAAGCTTTTTGGATCTGGTATATGCACAGAATTCAACAAAATTTACATTATCAAATAGTTCAATTTCTTAGAGCATCATAACAAAAATACTAAAAATAGAATTTTCCCTGGTTCTACACAACTTAGTGGTAACAGTATTGTGTGTAAAAGAAAGGAAGGACAGAAAACAGATTAACAAGATAAATTTCACCTAATATAAATTTTACCTGATATTTTGATGGCATTGATTAGATGTCATGAGTTTTATTATTAGCAAGTTATTTCCAGTTGGATTAAAAAACTTATTTTATATTAATTATATAAGACCTAGACAAACACAACTGAGCAATGAAAACACGATACTGACATTTTTTAAACATCATAGCCAAAAATCACTGCACTAGTATATGAACAATGCAGAAATCTAGTACTCTAATGATTAACACATATGACAAAAAGAATGCTATATACAGGTATTTCAGAAAGCATATGTTTGTTTAAAAAAGGCAAAACTGATAAACCACTTTAACGTAACTTAGTGGAGATTCACATATTACTGTACTGTAATTTAATCATAAAAGAAACTGAGGAACCCAAAAGTAGTTCATTTCTTGACATACCATATCTAATATGCTCTCAGAGAAAAAAAAAAAAAATCCATATTCTTAATTTCTTGTGTTTCGTTAATAATCTATTACCAAAGCTTCTGGATACAAAGTTCTAGAAAAAAATGTTTGCTTCAGTTTTTAGCACTATGGAATTATCAGGCCCTGCCTCAAGTTTTGTCTTCACCTATTAACATTACCTTATTGGGGTTGAGTTTGACACAGTTAGACTTCATTCCGGAGATTTCAGACAGAAAAGGAATTCAAATGAGCAATTAATGGGAAAAATTTCTTCTAGGTCTCCATCTTTGATAAAAACTTCCTAAGATTCCATGTTTTTATGAAGAGTGGTCCAGAAATTATAAAAGCCTTGTGCCTCATCCTAAATGCAAAATCTTTCAGTATCAGAATCCAAACAAAACTTAATTTCCAGTCTTACATCATAGATTGAAAAAAACGTTTCTTCCATTAATTCTAGATTATTCATATAAATGGTTACTGCTGTTTATGGAAAAAAAAGTTCAGACGGAATAAAGTTACCTTTTGGTTCCATCTGTAAATTCAATAGCCTAATCTCTACAGTTCCTGTTGCTATCAAGGAGCTATTTCAATGTTTTTAATAATATATAGATTAAAGCAGGAAAGGTTTTTTTCAGATCTCAAGTTTCTGCATCATCTAATAATTTAGAAATCAGAAATCTAAAATCCCAGTTACATTGGCTGTTAGCACAGAGTAGATGGTTGAGACAATACAGTCTTACTTAAAAGTTCATTTTAATCAAAAGAGTATGCCACCAGTGTTCAAAACAAATGCAGCTTCCTCTGTTCATCAGAAATATTTCTAGTAATTTACTAAAGGAATCCAGCTTGAAATCCATAACTCTGTGTCACAGTGTTGAGATAGGAGTCTTGAGAAAAATTTCAGTCTTCTGGAAAGCCAAAGAAGAAAAAGAAGCTCATGGCCAGTTTGGTGAATCCAAAGAGAAGTATGAAAGTTACTACTCTAGAAGCTATCTTAACCAAATGGAATGGTTGCTTCAGTTTTTAGCACTATGGAATTATCAGACACTGCCTCAAGTTTTGTCTTCACCTATTAACATTACCTTATTGGGGTTGAGTTTGACACAGTTAGACTTCATTCCGGAGATTTCAGACAGAAAATGAGACATCTGGGGTATTGCTCCTCCTAGATTAGATGAGAAGGAAAGGTATAGCTGGGTGTTGTTTGCTAACTATCCATCTTGACCTTAGCAGAAGATATAAAGCATGGGACTCATTATCAAGATTTTTATTTTGTTGGCCATTTTTTCCTTTTCTTTTCTTTTCTTTTCGTCCCAATTACTGGCTTTCAAATATTCACTTTAGCTTTCATAAGCAAGGTTACTCATGGAAAGGACTTCAAGTTTTTCCTTTAGGCATCTTCAGATGAAATCCTTTAATTTTCAGTTCCAAGAGGCTGCAATGGCAAGGCAGGCGGTTTGCATGCGACAGCATGTGGCTCAGAGCATGACTTAAGCGAGAGAAAAAAATTTGACTGTGTTCGGAGTTGATGTTGCAGACTTGGAGAAGATAAATGTACTGATTCAGTGTTGGAAGTATTACAGGCCTCTGTCATAGCTATCTGTATTCAAATTCATTTTGAAATTTGTTAGTAAGCCAAAAGCCAAGCCCAATTCAACACACATATTTTAGGTTCACTCTTCCAAGTCTAAATAAAAAGATACTCAAATCTTATGCTAAATTTCTGATATCTGAAAATTCACTGTCTCATATAATATCCTCAGTTAAAGCAATTTTTATAATATTCAATGTTTTATGAAGAAGAAATTAAATATATGCAAATGACAATTCCTAAAAATTAAAATAATGAATACTGACTGGGAAATAAATTATGCAAACTAAACTTCCAATATGCCTTTTTTTTCTGCACCAGACATAACCCCTAAATGTCATGGCCTGTGTCATAATTTTAGCAATCTCCATAATTTACAGCTGCTTAACAAAGAGCTCCTGACCAAATATTAATATTGTAGCAAGAAATAGTTGGCAATTAATAGTCAAATCTTCCATCTTATCTTTTCCATTTTTTTATGAAACTTCCCCAAGAATTCCTAAAACAGAATTGTAAGATGAATTCTAAAACCCAGTAAATTCTAATGAATTCAGTTTCTCTAAAATCATTACATCAAAGGCAATGTTAATCTTGTGGACCTCTATAAATTGTTTGTTTCAATGGAATACAAGTTCTATTCATATAGTCATTCAAAAAAGGCAATGGTGACTTTACAATTGCAAAGTTTCCTGTTTTCTGGTAATTTCTACCAATTCAAGTGGTAGACATAAACCTATTTTATCAATGTTAATCAAAAATCTTATAAGTATTTTATACTCTGAATGGTTGTTTCATAATTCCAATAATCTGCTTTACCTAGATGAATTGAAAAAAAGATCCCATGAAAATACTGCTAATCAAATCTCCCAGCAGTTTTTAGAAGAGATTATTCCTTAAACAATGTTTACCTAGTTGGTGCTAGATGCTGTTTATCACAATATAACCTGCATATTAAAAGTGAAACACATCATAGCAATCACACAGGAGGCTATAGTATCAGAACAACAGCTGATATATACATGCTGCAAAATCTGATAAATTAATCCATTCTTATCTAAAAGCATTAGGCTTTATTGTTAAATAGCACACATTAAGATTCAAAACTGTTTAAATAGTCATACCTTCATTAAATTGGTTCTCTGATGAAAGCATACTTCCTGATGGCAAGGGACCAACTGAACTTGAGCCTTCCAATGCCTGCCTCTTCTCAAAACTGAACTCTGGAAGTCTTGGAGCCTGGGGTCTGGTTTTTCTTGCAGGATTCAAGAAAAAACAGTAGGCACATCGAAAAGCTGCAGAAAAATTTTTTTAAAAATAAGCAAAACCAAAAACCAAAGAAAGTTCAAGGACTAACCAGATAACTCACATTATTACTTTTGCAGATGTTCAAAGAACACTTCAAAAGTTACTTATCCCTTGTGAAATTCATATGTTAGTTTAATAATATTATGGTAGGTATTCTAACCAAAGCTAACTTTAAAGCATGCTTCCTAATTATTATTAGAATTAGAATTTAAATTTTAAAGCAGAAAAGGCAGAATAAGATACATAGCAGGTTAACTATGTAACAGGTTACATAGCAGGTTGACAGCAAAACAATAATAATTTAATATTAATTAATATTACTAATTAATGAATTAATAATCACCAGAATCATTATGTATTTTAAAATTGAGAACCTTGCTCATTTGCCCAAGAAAATGTAGTATGTCATATTTCAGAACCATAAATAATTTACCACAGTTGTTTTTAATAGTGGCTACACATGAGAATCATCTACTGAGCTTTAAAAAAAAAAAAAAAGTTGATGCCTGGACCCCACCCCAGATCAATTAAAGCAGACTCTTTCAAGGTGAATTCTGGGTATCATAATTTTTTTAAGCTCTTCAGGTGATTCTGATGCACAGTGAGATTTGGCATAGAGATTATACATTATATGAGGAAGACAACGTTGTCTTCCCTGCTTTGCTCTGTGTACTAAAATAAGGACAATATGCCTAACCAATATGTACAGAGATAGTATCTAAAACAAGATGACATTACATGGAAAGTGGCATAGAATAAAATGTTTAAGAGTAAAATATTTAAATCTAACTACCCAATAATTCTTACCAATATATTCAAATTCCTCCTTCAAAGCCATGCCATTATGAGAAAAACACTGCTGACATATAAGGGCATACCTAAGCCGTTGGAAAAAAAAAAAGGAAGAACACACCAGTTACAAATGCAAAGCTCATGAAACTATTTTAGCCATCATGGCTAATTTATATTTTAACATAGTTAAATATGCCATGACAGATTAGATGTTACTTAGTAAACCATAAACAATACTCTTTACATAAAAGGAACATTTCGATGATTTTAAAATATAATTTATACACCAAATTTAAAATCATTTAAAACGAATATATCCTTACTAAGTTAGCAGAAACATATCTGATAACAGAACACTTGAATTTTGGTGTTTTCCAATGTATATTCCCGGGGATGAAATCCCCCAAATCTGTGGTTAGATAAGACTGGAAAAGATGGAACCCTTTTGGAGATTCACAATAAATATTATTAAAACCTGACTCTGAGAAGTCTTGCAGTTAAAAAAAAAAAAAAAAAAAATACATTTAATTTTCTTTAGTCTGGTCCAAAGGTTAATTTCTATACATGATGATTCTTATACCTTTCCCAGTTACACTTAAATATTGTCCTCATTGTCTATTTACATACTTTCTCTGTTCTGTGTGTATGTAGTCAACAAATATTTGGCTCTATCAAATATCATTCTGGTTTTGAATAACATAATTTATTATATTAACATTAAATCATAGTCCCTTTATTAAAATTATAATATTAACTGGTAAAGTTGTCAAACATCTACTCTACTATCCTATGAACTTTTTTAAAGTCTATACTTTGTCAATTGCTCTGCACATATCATACCTATCTTCCCAGAGTTAGTGAAAGGATCAAATAAGGTAATAATTGGAAAAGCATTTTTAGAACTGTTAAGTGCTAAACACATGCAAATTGTTCTTAACATTACTAAAAGTATTACCATCACCAAGTCCAGTACTGATACCTATAAAACTCCATTTCTGGCCAGGCACGGTGGCTCACGCCTGTAATGCTAGCACTCTGGGAGGCCGAGGCGGGCAGATTGTTTGAGCTCAGGAGTTCGAGACCAGCCTGAGCAAGAGCGAGACCCCGTCTCTACTAAAAAAAATAGAAAGAAATTATCTGGACAACTAAAAATATATAGAAAAAATTAGCCGGGCATGGTAGCACATGCCTGTAGTCCCAGCTACTCGTGAGGCTGAGGCAGGAGGATCGCTTGAGAGAGTCTGAGGTTGCTGTGAGCTAGGCTGACGCCACGGCACTCTAGCCCGGGCAAAAGAGACTCTGTCTCAAAAAAAAAAAAACTCCATTTCTTACAAGCCACCAGGTTTTTACTATTTTTGTGTCTTCAAGTTTAAAAGTTTCATTTAAAAAATTCAATTTCTCTAAAAATAATCTTAGAGCAGAGTTAATATGTTTTACAAATGGATTTTATCTAGACTATTTTGTCCAAATTCCTACTGTAAAACAATATGTACTCTTTTGCAGAGCTATAAAATACTCTATTATATTCTAAAATCAGGAAATAGAAACCACAAAACTGTGGAACATATAGTGCAGCACACACACACACGATGACCAATAAATCTTTTCATTTTCATTTATCTACCACCCTAGTAAACATTACCTGTTCTGTGGACCATCACCAACTAAATATTCAACAATTCTATCCAGAGCACCTCGTTCTCGGGGGAGAATGGGTCTTGCTAAAGGTGGACCTGGAGGATGAAGACCTATTAAATACACAAATACATAAAAATTTACATGTATAAAACATACATATATATATAATTTAATTCAGTAACCAAGAACTACCTATGCTTTTTAGAACTCTTAAAAGTTCTAACAGTAAAATATTAATTCTTATAAATCTCTGTAGAACATTCAAATTTTCATTAAAAATACTGCCCTACCAAAACATATTTAAATATGTGTTATATCAGAACCACCAATATAATCTATTAGAAAATGAAACTGGTTCTGTAAAAACCAGTTACATTTGGTTCTGTAAAAACAAATTTTTAAAAATGCCCAACTCTTAAAAGCTTATTTAATACATTAGGGGACTTCCATTTTGGGCCATAATAAAGTAACAGGGGTCAGATTTACCTTCCCACATAAAGTAACTAAAAAACTGTGCAGAACATATGAAGAAATAGTTTTAAAGACAGTGGATATCAGGTAATGTAGGTTAATGTTCACTGAGAGACTAAACACAAAGCATGCCCTACGCCTGCCCCCATCTTATTGCCTAGAGAGTGTTTCCAGATATCTGCACAAGAACAGTAAACCCAGGTGAAGTGTAGCAGTCTCTCAGAGTACAGAGCTGGAACTCTGGGGAGGCCAAGGTAGCTCTAGTTCACAGGAAAGAGTACTGAAGAAGAAAAAAGGCACAGAGAAAGAACACCACAGATCTGCAAAGAGTCTCCCATAGTAATAAGGAGAATATTGATTGGTGCATGCATGTGATGAAACTATCTGAGGATCAAAACAGAACCACTCAAAAAGATTAAAGGAAACTGTTCACATAAGGGCAAGAATATTGCTTGTTTCCACCAGCAAGAGTGGAAAACTTCTTAACAGACAGGTCATTGAGTCAAGTATTCAGAAGAATATCATATAAGAGTTTAAAAAATCCAGCATTCAATAAGGTGAAATTCATAATGTCTGGTATTAGAACAATACTACATACAGTAAGATAAATCAGTTGAAATTGACCCAGAAATGATAGTGATGATTGAATCAGTAGACAAAGATGTTAAGGCATTTATTATATTAATAACTATATTTCATATGTTTTGAGAATCTAGAGGAAAGATTCAGTATTTTAAGTAGAGACATGGAAAAAATTTAAAACACCCAAATTGAACTTCTACAGATAAAAACTATAACATCTAAGATGAAAAATCCACAAATGATGTGAACAGCAGTTTAGACATTGCAGAAAAAAAAAATGTTGGTGAACTTGAAGATGTATCAATAGAAACCATACAAATGAAACACAAAAAAGATTAAAAATTTTTTTAATTGAAAAAATCATCAGCAAGCTGTGGAACAACCTCAGGCAGCCTCATATACACGCAATTGGGGTCCAAAAAGAAAAGGAGAGAAATGAAAAGAAAAAAAATATTAGAAGATAAATGTACAAAAATTTTCCAAATTTGATGAAAGCCATAAAACCACAGATCCAAGAATATCAACAAATCCCAAGCACAAAAAACATAATTTTACCACACAACAGAGCATCATCAAGTTTCTTAAAACCACTGATAAAATCTTAAAAGCAGCCAGAAAAAGATACATTATGTACAGAGAAACAGAGAAAAGAATGACAGCAGACTTCTCATTGGAAAGGATGCAAGCCAGAAGACAGTGAAACAGTATCTTTAAAGTTATGAAAGAAAAAAACTGTCAAATGAGAATTCTGTATCCAGTGTAAACATCTTTGTCAAATGAAGGCAAAATGAAGACTTTTTCAGATATACAAAACTGAAAGAATTCATCACTAGCAGAACTGCATACACTATAAGAAATATTAAAAGAAGTCCTTCAGGCAGAAGAAAAGTAACTGTAGACAGGAAGCAGGATCTACACAAAGGAATAGACAATTTGAAATAGTTGCTATGTGGGTAAATATATAAGACTTTTTTTTATTCTTTAAATCTCCTTAAAAGATAATTGATTGCATTGTATTAGATAGTATAAGTAGTCTACAGATAATTTAAAGTACACAAGAAGGGAGCAGGTGCAGTGGCTCACACCTGTAATGCTAGCACTCTGGGAGGCCAAGGTGGTAGGATAGCTTGAGGCCAGGAGTTCAAGACCAGCTTGAGCAAGAGCAAGATCCTGTCTCTACAAAAGTAGAAAAATTAGTCAGGTATGGCAGCACACACGTGTAGTCCCAGCTACTCAGGAGGCTGAGGCAGAAAAATTGCTTGAGCCCAGGAATTTGAGGTTGCAGTGAGCTATGGTGACACCACAGCACTCTAGCCTGGGCAACAGAGCAAGACCCTGTCTCAAAAAAAAAAAAAAAAAAGTACATAGGAGGATGTATATAGTTTATATGTAAGTAATACACCATTTTATATAAGGGACTTGAGAATCTGTGGATATTGATATCTGCTTGGGTGGTCCTAGAACCAATCCCAATCCCCATCCCCCATGAATCTATGTTCTTTTCAAGTGACCAGAAAACATTTCCCAAGACATGGCATTCTGGGTCATAAAACAAGTCTCACTACATTTAGGAAGATTCAAATAAGAAGCAATATGTTTTCTAACCACAATAGAATTAAATTGGAACTGAGCAATAGAAAAATATCTGAAAAAATCTCCAAATATTTAGAGACTAAATCACGTACATCTAAATAACCCAGGATTCAAAGAAAAATCAAAAGGGAAATTAGAAAATATTTTGAATTGAATGAAAACCAAAAAAAGTACATCAAAATTTATGATATGCAGTAAAGCAATACTTAGAAGAAAATACATCACACTAAACACCTATATTACAAAAGAAGATAGGCCTAAAATCTATAACTTCAGCTTCTACTTTAAAAAACTAAAAAGAAATCCAAAATAAGCAAAAATGAAAATAAACAAAAGACATAATAAAGATCAAAGAGGAAATTAATAAAGTAGAAAATATAAAAATAATAGTGAAAAGCTGGTTCTCTAAGATCAATAAAACGATAAACCTCTTGACTGATAAACCTTAGACTAATCAGGAAAAAAGAAAGAAGATACAAAATACTAATATCAGAAATGAGAAAGAGAGCATAACTCCAGATTATAAAGGTATTAAAAGGATAATAGGGAATATTATGGACAACTTTATGTCAATAAATTCTACAAGTTAGATGAAATGGACAAATTCCTTGAAAGACTACCAAACTACCAAAGATCACTCAAAAAGATAAAGATAACTATTTGATTTACTAAAATTTGTTAAGAATTTTTATATCTATGTGTCATATTCGTCTATAGTTTTTCTTTAATTAAAGAAATTGAATCTTTAGTTAAAACAGCAAACAAACCTTTCCACAAAGAAAACACCAGGCCCAGACATTTCAACTAGTAAATTCTATCAAACATTTAAATTAAGGAAGAAATAATACCAATTCTACACAAACTTGTCCAGAAAAAACAAAGACGGAATACTTACTCATACCATGAGGCCAACATAACTTTGATACCAAAACCAGACAAAGATACGTGAAGAAAAAAAAATACTAACACCAATATCCCTAATAAGCATTGATGTAAACATTTTTAACAAAATGTTGGCAAATTGAACCCAACAATATACATATAAAACAATACATCATGATCAAGTGAGATTTATTCCAGGAAAGCAAGTTGGTTTAACATTTAAAAATCAATGTAATTCACTATATAAATAGATGTGAAAACAAGGAAACAAACAAAACCCAATATGAACATCTCAATAGACTGAGAAAAGCATCTGACAAAACCCATCATCTATTACTGATAAAAATCTTCGGCCAACTAAGAATAGGCAGGCACTTCAACCTGATAAAGGGTATTTATTAAAACTAAAAACCAAAAACCCTAGAGCTAACATCATGCTAAATGGTGAAAGAATAATAGCTTTTCCAATAAGATCAACAAATAGGCAAGGAAGTCTACTCCTATCACTTCTATTCAACATTGTACTAAAGTAGAGTTCTAGCTAGTGTAATAAGGTAAGAAAAATAAAAGGAAACCAGATTGGAAAGGGAGAAGTAGAATTTTCTTTATTCACAGATAATGTAATTATCTATGTAGAAAATATTATGTAATCTATAAAAAAGTTACCAGAACCAATAAATGAATTTAGCAAGGTTAGAGGATACAAGATCAACATAAAAAAATCAATTGTATTTCTATATATACTAGCAATGAACAGTTAGAAATAGTTAATAAAACAATACCACTGATAATAGCATCAAAAATATGAAATAATTAGATGTAAATTTAACCCCAAAATATGCAAAACCTATAAAGTGAACACCACAAAACATTGCGGAGAGAAATTAATGACCTAAATAAATGGAGCGTTATACTGTGTTCCATACAGTACATCTAATATAAGTTAGGCAACATCAGAAAAGACTAATGGGGAGTAGAAAAAGAACATAGAATTTAGTTAATTCCAAAACAATCATTATATAAAAACAATAACAAAAATAAAGAGTTACACATTCAAACTTCATGAATTGTAACTCTATGACCTCTAAAAACCAAAAGAGAACTTTTTGCAGAAGAAGAAGGCACTGAGAAGAAAGTGAGAAAATAAATAAAATGAGATGCTTGCCTTTGTAAAAAATGACAGAATGAACATAATATAGTGGGCAGCAACAGAGGTTTACTTGGAGACCTCACAGAAAACTGAAACAAAATGGAACCCTGGTGGAATAAGCCTTGCAATACAAGGATATAAGTGTCTCAAAATGTCTGTGACAAAAACTTTAAAGCATTCAAGTTTACTTTAGGACAGTAATACTATATTATTTTAAAGTATTAATAATTTAAAAAAGAGATTTGCTTTGTAAATAATCACAAACCTAAAAGGTAAACGGATATCAAAATTACAGCTATTAGTAAACAAAAGTTAGGTTCTGGAACAAGTTCTTCGTATTACAAATAAAGCATATTTTTAAGATTTCATCAGGTAAATTATTGCTTTACTTGTGGTAAAAAGATTCAATTATTATCACTGAAAAATAAACTTGAATCCAAACATTGGCATACCTCATTATCAAATTTGCAACTTGAATAAGCAAGTCACATTAGATTTTGAAAGCATTTAAGCCAATTTAACTTTTGCTGGAGTGTTTTACTTCTACATATTTAAAGTGAACATGTCCATAAAAGAATCTGGATATATAAAACAACAGATTTCATAAAAATATCTTAAACTTCATGCACATTAATAACCTTCAAAATAATGCATCTTCATACTCATGCTGTTATGGACAACAGTAATTAATACAAACATCAAAAGCAATCATTGTAGGAATACTGGTCATTTTTATACAGCTTGGCAAATTATCAAGTACCTGCTGGTTATTAATTTTCAGACATATGGGAGCCCTGTGGTAATACACATTAAATTGATTCTCTTCCACAAATATGGTATAATGAAAAAATCAATAATAAATCACTTAACTCATTCATATTTTTGGCAATGTACAATTTACACAGTCTTTCACACAAACTGCTTAATAATTAAAAACTTCAGTAAAACGTTATATTTACATGATCATGAAATTTAGTCCATTGTTCCTTTTATAACCCTAACCTTACATGTGCAATACAGTTTTTATTACTAATATAATTTGCTAAACTTTTATCTCTTTAAAATCATTTAGATACACAAATGTATGAGATTCATGCATTTTCTACAAAATTAGTTCTTTCATTAAACAATCAGGAATTTAAACTAACAATCATGAGTATCTCAAATCAACCAGATAACTGAAAAATGAGTCATTTTCAATTTAACTTTTCTCAATTTCATAAAATACATGGCTACCTTACAGTGTTGTCATTATATGTCAAATTTAAAAGTATTTTTTTAAATAGCTACTTTAAAAGTTACAAGATTTGTACACATTTCTTTTGTAGTCAGCTTTCTTAATTTGTTTATAAATTAAGTTTTCCAGTCTTATAAAAACTTATGTTGCATTTTTAAAGGAAAATAAGAAAAAAAATCTACCATAATAAGTAATATTTAAATTTCTTAGTGATTTTATTACATAAATGCTCTGATTACCTGACATCAACTAGCTTAGCCTCAAAATCATTATAATTTATGTTAGTAATTAGTCATGAAATAATAAATTATTCTAAATTAGAATTAAATAACCTAAAACAAAACAAACAATTTATTATCATATGCAGTAATCCAACACAAAAATCTACATAAAATAATGTGAACTGCTAAAGCAGGAGACTTCTATGCCCCAATCACACTCCAAAAGAAACCACAGGATAATATAGTCTGTTACACTCCAGAATTGGATCTTTCCCTAAAGAGCTACCACAGTGAAAAAAAGAGGATCCAAGAAATAAAATAGTTAAGGGAATATGTTCATTTAATAGAACTTTATAACGTATCTATCAGAAATACTAAGGTTCTATGCCTTAAAAAAAAAAAAAAAGAAAAGAAAAAAAAATCTACCAGCCCATATTAACAAAAGTAATACTGTACACTACAATGCAGGAATATTCTTCCTGAAATATATGTGCAGGGTTTAGCAAAAAACATGAATACATTCCAAAAGTGTTCTCTCCCCATTTTATATAAATCTGGAGTTATTCTAAAGTTGAATATAAAAAGATACACTATACTGTTGACTACACAATACTACAAAGTTTTATTGCCATTTAAACAAAGAAGCCGTAACAGTTAAACGAGCTCAAGAAATAGGTTTCAGTATCACAAGGTGCCAGCTGTAAAGAGTTATGGCTAATTGAATATGGAACTCCTGCTTAATCAGATAACTGCTCTGCTATTTCCAAATGAAATGCCATTTCCACACTGTCTGAAAATGGCCTGTTTTATTGGTAACCAGAGAAAACAATATACACTGTAAATAACATTAAGTGCTCTGTTTACCCATTCCAGGCACTGAAGTAGCAGGGGATCCAAGATGTCTTGGTAACAGATTTGACGGTAGAGCTGGAGTAACAGTCCTTTCTGGGGGTCCACCAGGGGCTGAAGTGTCCTTTGGTGGTCCAGGAGATACTGGAACTTGTGGAGGAGGGCCCTGGTTAGGGCTTGCTGGTGTTGGAGAAAGGTTTCTTTGAGCTGCAGTTCGCTGACGAATCTCTGCGAAAAATAAGTATATACACTAGATTTAATATCCAATATACCATATTAGCCAATACCACAAATGACTTACATTTATTAAAATTTTGTGGCACCAAAAGGCATTGCAGAGTCAAAACTGCTTGTAATAAGAAATCTATAAAATGTAACACTGAAAATAGAGTGCTACATTTCTTAACTTACAATTCAATTGCACATGTTTATACAAGCTTTTATCTAAGTCTATCTACTGATATCATTTTTTAAAATAAATTTAATAAAATAAAATCATCACCCAATTATATGTCATGTCTCTTTACAGTAAACCTTTCTAATTATGATAAAGGAAAAAAATTATAAGAATTAGTGAAAACTCCAAATTGTAGATTTGTTTTTCAAGATTCAAAAAATCGGTAAGTTTAAGAAATAAGTGAATAAGTATATTCTGGAATGATCAAATAATTTACCAAGTAATTAATCTAAGTAGTCATAAAAATGCCAAAAAGCTATTCTTTACTATTAGGTACCAGTCCCATTCTCCTTTATGATACTGATAACTTTTTGGCAAATTTCTTTTTGCCCAAATACTCAATTAAGGAAAACTTCCACTCTGCATAAACAATGTTTCTTCATAAATAAATTTTAGTTTATAGTTGGAGAAATTACAAGATTCTCGATAACAGGGGTTGGCAAATGTGCCAACTCCAGGCTGCTGCCTGTTTTTGTAATTTTATTGGAACACAGTTCCGCTCTTTTGTTTACATATTGTCGATGGCTGCTTTCAAAGAGTTGAGACCATATGATCCTCAAAGCCATTTACTATACTTACTACTTATCCCTTTACTGAAAAAGTTTCATGACTCATACTTGATAATGTAAAATTAAATTCTATCGATCCCTATTCCCACCACTATCTTACTTGAATGGCAATGGTAAAATCTCAAATAAAGAAGCCCTTATACCTTTTCTGTTTTTTTTTTTTTTTTTATGGAGACAGGGTCTTGCACTGTTGTTCAGACTAGACTGCAGCATCATCATCATAGCTCACTGCAACCTCAAACTCCTGGGCTCAAGTGATCCTCCTACCTCAGCCTCCTGAGTAGCTGGGACTACAGGCACATACCACCATGCCCAGCTGATTTTTCATCTTTTTGTAGAGATGGGATCTCACTATGTTACTCAGGCTGGTCTTGAACTCCTGGCCTCAAGTGATCTTCCTGTCTTGGCCTCCCAAAATGCTAGGATGTCTCCTAGCACTTTGTAAGTTTGGAGGCCACCATGCCTAGCCCTTGTAAGTTTTTAATTCTACATATCACAGTAAATTATCAGAAATCCTGAATAAGTGGGCTGAAACTAAGTGAGTTATATTTTAATTGGCATGCTTAGTAAAAGTACATACTTCCAGAGCAAAACACGTAGGCTCTATTTGACAGTTAAAAATTTTCACGAAGAGTTCATTGCAATTGAAAGCAGAGCTCTAGTGTTAAATCTCAATTCAACACAATCTACTCTACTAGCCAAGAACCCAGGCCCTACAGTCAGAAAGGTTTGGTTGGAACCCTGGCTCTGGCTACATGACCTCATGGGTTACTTAACTTGGACAAACCTCTTTTATTTTACCTACAAAATTAAGATAATAATATTTTGAACTCACAGAATTATTATGAGGATTAAACAAGATAATGTCTGTAAGCTGACAGCTCACATTTACTGAATATTTAATATTTCAGATGACTTTTCACACTATTTTCAAATGATTTTAGCTATAATTACTGGGATCAACTAATCCATTGATTCATAAATTAGTCTCTAATCAAGTCACTGCAATAATAAATTATAAGCACATTATCATTATACAAATGGAATCATCTTTATATTTTGCTACTTCTCATGTAATTTATATAGAAAATTTCAGATATTACCTATAATTATCATCATATCTCCTACAAATTAGGTGGTCACTTAATTGTTTTTTTACTCACAGGGAATACCTTCATAGGGGGTTACATATTAGAAAAGCCATTAAATTCTGCAAAAGGTACTGAGATCAATGAAATCATATTAAGATTTGGTAGCTTAAATGGTTAATTTAAAAAATAAGGTATCAAATACTGTGAATCATTGGTTAGCCAATTTTCAGGTAAAGTATAACTCAAAAAGTGACATTTTTCTTCCAGATAAATAAAAGTTTAGCATTGATTAGACTATATTAAAAGTAGCTATTATCCTTTTACTCCTTGAACAAAGACTTCAGACTGCTTCCTCTGAATGTGCATTTATCATGTGAAAATATCCTAAAATACTTTTAATATCACTCATATACTACTAAAAAGTGAGATACATAATTAACAAAGGACATCATGTCTAGCATTTCATAAAAGAGATTTAGCTTAGTATTTCTAATTCTAAACTTAGGCAAATGGAAAAGAGTCTTGAAAGGGAAAAATGTGGTTTCATCATTTTCAAAAGAAAAGCAGGTAACAAAGGGTTACAATATCATTAACAGCTTAAAATAGTTAGCAATGCAGTACCAAATCTATATTTGGTAAAATATTATAAAATATTCTGGTAGTTTCAATTTAAAATATCTAAGATTTATCTACTTTTAGCTACTTGTTATTCATAAATGTTTTGTATGAATTACACTAAAAAGTTTCTAGTACTCAACAAAATAATCATATTGGTTACATTCAACATTTCCTACATTTAAATGTAAAATACAAACCCCCACAAGTTAGCAAGCATTCCACATGAATCTGGCAAAAAATCATAAGTAGTGTGCCACAAGGTCCATTTTGGACTGAAGGATGTTTCAACATCCTTATCAATGATCAATCAATGACTCAACAAAAATCATGCTGAGAATTATGACAAGTTTATATGGGATTTAAATTCAAAATGAAGTAATAGGCCCGTTAACCAAACTCTCTAGTCTCTGAAGATAGGTTGGTTAATGGGTACAAAAATATGGTTAGATAGAAAGAATAAGATCTAGCATTTGATAGTATAGCAAGGTGACTATAGTTAACAATAATGTATTGGAGAGTTCAAAATAGCTTGAAGAAGAATTGCAATGTTCCCAACATAAAGAAAAGATAAATGTTTGAAGTGATGGATATCCTAATTATCCTAATTTGATCATTATACATTGTATACAAGTATCAAAATATCACATTGTACCCCAAAAAGATGTATGATTATGTATCAATAGAAAAATGAAGCATACAGAATCAAAATGAGATTTATAAAAAATTACATTAAACAAAAAGAAGAAAACAAAGTTTATAATAGTGATATAAAAGAACATCATTATGCAAAGCAGAAACTCTGGGATCAAACAGTCTTAATTTTAACTCTACCCTGTTTACTATTAATAGATGTGCATGCAGCCTTTTCCAAGTCGATGACATCTCTCGGTTCAGCTTCCTCATAATGAGAATACTTACCTCTTATAGTTGTAAAGATTAAATGAGAAAATCAAGACAAAGAACTTAGCCATAGCACATGAAAAGTACTTAATAGGCAATAGCTATTAAGAGAAGCAGTTTTTGCTATGCGGGGTCTTCTCTGGTTCCATACGAAGCATAAAATTAATTTTTCTACATCTGTGAAGAATGATGCTGGTATTTTAATAGGAATTGCATTGAATCTGTAGATCACTTTGGGTAGTATAGTCATTTTAACAATGT